ATCAGTCTGCTGGCTGTCTTTTACTATGTTTCGAAGCCATCTGAAATTTTCAGTCATCTTCAAAACACACCCCCAATAGGAAGTGTGTCCTGCCTCCTAATTTTCACTTAATGTTTTCTAATGTAACCACACTTTGTGGCAAACGAGGCAGGAGAAACTCATTCAATACTAAAATGAATTGTTAAAAATACTATTACAGTGTAAATAAGATACGGCCAGTATTTGTGTTAGTATTTAGAGTATGTTTTTTTTGAGGCACACCAACAGTACACATTTTCGAACAATTCCATCAGCTCAGTAGTAGAGACTCTCAAGACCTGAAATGACATCCATACTGTGTACTGTTGGTGTCGTAGGCGTAATTTGCGGGTGGGACGGGTGGGACATGTTCCCACCACTTTTTGCCAGACTCGATATTGTCTCCACCACTTTTAAAACATCACGTGGCAGGGATGTTACAAATAAAAATAAATAAAACATCTCTAGTTAACTAGCCGAGCATTCATTTCGTTAGTTTTTTAAATAAGAGGCGATCTAGCGCTGAAATGTGTTGTTTTTAAAACCAAGTGATCAAAGTGCTCGTTGACTCTGCGTTCAGTGTCACGGATACAGTGTTCAGTGTACTGTTAAGTTGTCTTGATTGATATTGTGATTGTGCTTTGATACAATCTGTATTGTGAAAAGCGCTATATAAATATTTGACTTGTGGCCAGCGCACAGTCTTCACACGGACGCGCTTTAATCCGTTGCGGAGTCTCTCTGTTCGTTTCGGTGAAATCACAAAGTTAAATGCACATAAACAAGTCCCTGCTTGATATACAACCACTGAAAAACATAATCTATTTTAATGAGAAAAAGAAAAAAAAAATACGAGTGCTGATTAGAACCCATAACCTCTGACACGCTTGGTACAATTCTCGCCACTAACACATATTAGATCTCATTAAATGACAAATTAAACACAATGTGCTATTTAAATTGATTGCTGGACATCGGTATGTTATTGTACATAGGTGTACATCTGATTTATGATTTAGCATTGTATTAGCACCCCCCCTCCAGGAACAGAAATGAAAACATTGTGCTGTTAGCTTAGCAACATGCTAATGACAAATGTCACTGAAATCAATTGCCTGTCAAGTCTGCCTTGTGTGGAGCGCTTATTAATGCCTATGTAAAGCATTCAAAATCATTCTCTTATAACAGTTAGGATACTGCCTTAGAAGGCAGCTGCCCATTTAGGCAGAAGGAAGCGAGGGTAGGTTTCAAAACAGACCTGTCTCTGTCTATTCCCTCACTGTGTCTAACGTTTTATCCATTTCCAATCTTACCGCTCACTCTCCATCTTCCCTTAGCTCGCTCTCTCTCTCCACCCCCACTCTCTCGCTCTCTGTCTCCTCCCTCCACCCCCTCTCTCTCTCAGATGGTAACTAGGCTGAGGTCAGGTGAGGTAATGGAGTGCACACTCTTACACAGCACTACCTCTGCTGTGGTGTCAGGATAGCGGCTGCTCTTCTGAATGCCCTTGAGGTGTGACCTCATTCAGGGCTCTTAGGAACAATCATGTCATGAGAAAATACTCGATATAAACACACAAGCTTTTAAAACATTTAATAACTTCGTCTATTACTATCATTAACATAAATTACTAAATTTGTGTAATAGTAAATGCTACATTCAGCCGGTCATTATAAATAACTCAGAATTTTAACTCAGAATAAACTCTGACAGGATGAACAAGACACGACATAAAGAGTAAGGGTCTTGTATCACCCTGAAATTTTTATTTTTCAATAATGACTGTATTCATGCAGCAAGTTTTAATGGTCATTATACAAAACTATTTGACCCATCAAGAATTCATAAAGGAATAGTGAATCTCCACTATGGAAGTATATGGGTAACAATATTCAATTTGAAATGTAATATGCAAAATGAAATTGTAATATGCAATATGTAAAATGGCAGTGCATTTCTGTGTTTCAATTTCCATTTTCCATTACATTTGTGCTATGTTTGGTGCAAAATGAAAATAATTCAATTATATAATTTACATTTGCCATTGCATACACTAGTTTTAATATGTAAATTGAATACATATTTTAACGCTTTATAAGTTGCTAAATTTAAATGTATTACAGAAATGATTAGATAACATGTTCAAGCATGTTTGCTGTTTCGAAGCTGAAGGTGGTTTAGGAACAACATGACATTGAGTAAATGATGACAGAATTTTTCCACTAGCTTAAGGTCTACTATATGAGAAACATTGAATATTCAGGGCTATTTTCTAATTAACATCTATCTGTAGTCTGTGTCTTAATTTACACTTCAAATTAAACAAAAAGTTTTGACAAGTTGTACATACAGGTGTTTCTTTGAATAGACTCTAAAGGTCTCTTTTGTGCCGCCACCCACCCCACCCTCTCTTGCTTTTTTTGATTGGCTGTTATAGATGCTCTGTGGAGTTTGGATGTGTCTGTTTGCTTAATCAGCAATTTGCACCTTTCTGAAGAGGCTGTGATAACCATGTGTTGGTGCTAATAAACTCTATTAAATTTATAATAAAGTCTATGAAAGTTTCCTGATAACATTAATGCTATTTCACTCTATTTTATCAGATGTATATTATCCCATATTACATCCTTACCTGAATTTAGAGGGCTAAAAATTCAGGCCTGGTACTTTCATATTATTATAACTATATACTGCTGCACAATACCCTCCCCTCACCCCCCCTCCCCTCCCCTATTTTAATTTAGATGAACTATTAAAGTCCCTGTCAAGGCAATTCTACCAAAAAATTCTAAACGCATTATAAATGTTACAAATGTATTGCTAAAACATATTACAAAGACTGTGAACTGTGAAGTACTGAAATGCGGAGTTAGACCGTTAACTCTTTCCCCGCCAGCGTTTTAAAAAAAAGTTGCCAGCCACCGCCAGGGTTTTTGACGATTTTCGCTAAATTTGAATGCCCCGCTGAATATTTTCTTCCATGAATATATGAAGATGATATATATAAAAATAAAGATCTGAGCCTCTGCTTTTAGGCAAAAAAAACGTTTTTATTTTATCTTCATCTGTTCTTTTTTTATTGCCTCTTGAACAGAGGTAGGTTTTGTCAAAAACACAACATTTTGGAAAAAAACTGAGAAAAAGGTATTTTTATCAAACAAGTGCATTTAAAAGCAGAATACATTCAGATGTTGTTTCCTTCATATAAAAACTTTCCAAAATAAATTAAAAACATAAAATAAATGTAAAATATATCAAATTTCCCAGGATGTAAGGGTAATGTAATTTTTGCAATAAAACGTCTGCCTCTGCCTCTCTGTGTTCTACCTGTGAATAATGATTGGAATTACAATAAACAAGCCTACACACACACACACACACACACACAAATACATATTACAATGTGGTAAATGTGCACAAAGAGAGAAATAATTTGACAATTACACCTTAATATTTAGACAGCCACACATAAATGCCTGCACACACACATAAATATTATAGTGTCATAATATTATACGATCTATCTGCGGCACGTCCATGGCTAGAACTTTCTGTGACAACATGTGCATCTCTCTCACTGACTACTTCGTCCCGATCAGATTCAGAATTATCAAATAAAGAGTGATCGGACTCCGAGTCCATTAACCTCCAGTACTTCAGCCATATACCTCTGCATTGTCTGTCTGATACATTCTCACTACTCCACTTTTTGAGACGATTGCAATCTGTTTCTCTGATCAAAGAGTTGCGCACTCATTCAGGACATGCGCGCGGGTCTTCCTTACCGTATACCACCTAAAACACGGATACCCGGAAAATTCCGTGTTTGGCGCAGATGCGTTTTTTCATTAAACACGGAAAATTCCGTGTTTGGCGGGGAAAGAGTTAAACAGTTTTTCACCATTGCTATTTTACGGATTTTTGGGGCGGGGCTAAAACAGGGCTTGATGACGCACTGGAGCCCATGAGCTCCTGGACACGCCCCTACTTGATGACGCACTGAGGCTGAACTCTCCCCTAACAATAGAGCACATTTGCATTGGCCGCTCAATCGCGAGCTACTGTCAGTACTATTAGATATTACATCCTACAGTTTGCTAGCTAGCTATGCCCTCGACACAGAAATGCCACGGAAATAGGCTACTTACCTGGATGTGATCATGTACAAAACAGATCGGTGTCTTTATTTAAATTTCCTAAAAGCGATCACATCAAGAAGAGGTGGATTCATTTTGTGAAGAGCCACCTTGATGGAGAGCTGAGGATCACCGCCAACACCCGCCTCTGTAGTGATCATTTTACACAGGATCGTTTTGTAAACTTTCCTCAGAGACAGCTGGGATTCACTGATAATCTGCTGTTACTGGTGAACGGGGCCGAAACTACTATCTCCCGCCTCAGCGTTCATCCTCCCGTGCCGAGAGCAGTATCATCTAATATCACCGTCGGCAGCTTTCCTGTGAGTGGGCGTGGTTTCAGAGCAGCCAGTGGACACGCCCCCAGCATTTGAGAACAGAGATAACTGCTCTTTTTTTCAAGATTTTGATAGCTTGTTTTATGTACTTGCCGGCTTTTTTATCATTCAAATTTGGCTGGGTGGCTAATAACACATTTTTCTGTGGTGTGACAAACTCAGAGCACATAATTAATTTTGCCTTTACAGGGACTTTAAAGAGTCATATAGTACATGTACAGTATAATCTGTAATTAATTGCATCTCTTTAGATCTAAATCGAATATATATATATATATATATATATATATATATATATATAATTGAATTAAAACACATTTCTCGCCATCCAGAATGATTGCGATCTCTAAAGCTCTAGGAAATATTATGCATAAACCAACCAGGAATTCATACTGCTTTAAACTGGCCTTTTCAGCAAGGATTCATCCAGTTAATATGACATGAAGACATTTCTCAACAGCAAGAGCGAAATACTGTATAAGTCAGAGAATGCAGATGAGAGTCTTACCTTCTACTGCTCTTTTGAAGAAAACTTTGCAGCTTCCACATGTAACAACCCCATAGTGACATCCTGACGCCTCGTCTCCACACACCAGACACACTTTAGCTGTCGAAGACGTGTGTCTCAAAGACGCACTGAAATAAGAGAAAATAAAAATATACCTGTAAATTGTACTTGAGACATTAAGTGACAAACCACATTAATGATATAACCCAATGTTCTCAGGTTAAGAAATACAGTAGCTCTCTTGTATGTGTTCAGTAGCAGTTCATTGGTAACTGAAATGAAATGACCAAAAATAACTTAAAGCATTTGATATTTGAAAATATATGGAAAAGAAACAAGATAAATTGAAGTAAATCAACCCACATTTAGTCAATGAACTGCCTATTTTATTTCAGACACGGGTAACAAAAAACAAGATAAAAAATGGAAAATATTTTTTTGCTAGTTTTTGTAAAACCTTTATACCAATGTAAAGATCCAATTTAATAACTCTAACTAGTCTTGTGATAAATATATGATAAACATTTTATTTGACACCGAATAGTTATGTAGACTAACCTGGATGCCAGCGCGAAACCCGCCCACTACATTTTTGTTTGTTTGTGAAGCTTGGTCTGAACTAGGTCCATTGAGGAGTAATTGAAATCACTGGGTCAATCAAATTGCCAGGACAGGCTTTATACGATGATGATCTGTAGTTAAGTAATCATCAAGTTATCAAAGAGTGCTTGGGTTGAACTGGTTTCCCGCAAAGATGACTGCAGCTGGAGAATTGAGATGTATAGATTTCGCTATCACGTCTGTTGTAAAATAAATCGACAGCGCATTCATTTTAGAAGACGAGCAGAAAACTGCAATCAAAGCATTTGTTGATCGGAAAGATGTGTTTGCCGTCCTTTAAAATGCTCATTATTTTACTACTACTTCCAGCGTGAGTTTTTTATTTTTATTTTTCCTGGTTCATTTAAGACCAAGCGTGCAGCACAAGCCCTGAAAAGTAAAGCCGAAACGTCTTTATCCAAAGATGACTTCTGTCATTAATGGTAGTTTTTATCACGCCGATGTAATTTCAAGAGTTTGTTTTTAAAATAAGTTTGTTTTTAGTTAGTTGTATGATGCGGTGGTGGTGACGTCATGATTGACAGCTGTGATTGACAGGTTCTCTGAGCGAAGTAGTAGACTGAAGCACCAGCCTACTAAATGAGGAAATTGGAGCTTTAAATTTAATATATAAATTTCTATAATTAATTTTTTTTGTGTGCCGGAGAGTATGTTTGCAATTGATTTTGTGGAAGTGAGGGTGGGGCCTTGATTTTGCGGCTTTACTTCCTGCTCACTACTGCGCATGTCTCAACCTGAAAACGCTACTGCGCAGACTTAAAGTCCAAGATGTCAGCGACATATCGGGCTACTCATAGATATGTATATAAAGGCTAGATGTGTTACGGCGGAGTTTCCATCGTCATCACCGGCGGCCATCTTGTCACAGACAGGCTTTCTGGTGGGCTCTGTAGTATCTGATAAAAGAAATACTCTTATCTCGTTGAAATCTTGACGGATTTACAAACGGTTTGGTTTCTTACAAACGTTATTAATGTGGCTATAATTCTGGATGATTATTTATTTATACACTTATTATTCATAAGTATGCAGTATCATAACTACATCTCTGCCGTTTATAACAAACCAGACTGTTTGAAAATCGGTAGAAAATTGAGCAAGTTACGGTGATTTAAAAAGTACATGCACCATTAAAACAATGTTACCAATGAGCGAGCTGCCTGTGACAAGATGGCCGCCAGGTGCTGACGTCGACCTCCATTGGCCAGCAGCGTGGACGACACATCTAGCCTTTATACATATCTATGGGGATAATGACGGCTTCAATTCTGACCAATGGAAGTCAAAGAGAGCGAATGGGCGTCGTCCACCTTTTTTTACAAGACGGTAGAGCTAACGGTAGACATCTTAATCATTATTTTCATTTATTAAAAATACTGCAAATTTTAAGGTATTTTTTCAGCATTGATTGCGCATGTTCTGATAGAAGTTATTCAATTATTGTTTTTACAAGTATTATTAGTAGATTACTGCTAGATTGAACAATACATTACTGTATATTATATCATTGCATAATTATAATCAATAGATTCATAAATTAACAGACCCAGGACAAAAATAAATAAATAAACACAGCCATGTCATTGACCTGCCTATTTCAATAAAATAACCCATGAATAACACCCCAGGTTTGAGCTAAGTTTGTCCTGCTGTACAGGGCCATTTGAGCCCAGCCATTTTAGCACTACAGAAATCACGTAATTCCCACATTGTTACTGGGCACCCAAAGGGCACGGCATATGTCACTGACTCATAACGTATGTCTCACAATTTTGCTCCAGATCATTCAGGAAGTCTGACTGTACAACATCTACACAATTACAGCCATTTATAATATTTCACTTTCAAAATAGTCAAATTAGTCTATTGGAGTCTTAACATACAGCAATAAATACTGAACAACATTAAGTGGCAGAAAATGGGAGAATGTTGGAATCTCAAAAATAGAGATTTTTATGTCCGCTGCCCTCCAAAATGAAATTGAAACATTGAAAATGAAGCACATACTCCAAATAGTCTGGCTGACTAGGCAGAAATCTGATTAAATTGCCCAGTGAAACCTGACATAGCCTGAGTGGGCAGAGCCTCTTATGAGGATGCCCTGCGGAGCTGGTGAAAGTCACCCTTTGAAAGACACCTATGGCATGCATTAAAAAAACACACATAAAAATGAATCATTTAAAACGAACGGTAAGGCTCTAACAATACGTTAACGACAAGATAGGGTTGGCACGTACCTCCCCCCCGCCCCAACTTTGATAATGAGTGTGCTCTCGTTTTAATCAGTAGTGCACGGTAATTGTCTGGTTAGCATTCTGACAACATCCTTGAGTCTTAACAAGCCTCTGGGTCTCATAGGCACGATCCCTCTGAAGGCCTGGTGCGGGTAGTAACTTCACAGCATCTTTCTGACACAGTCGAGAGAGCTGATCTAATTCTCCCTTGTCCGTCTAAACACACATTCAATTTGTTAGCCGGTTAGCAGGGGTCTTCTGCGAGGGAGTCGATTGACAGGGCCCGGTGAGCTAATCGCCCCGGCAGCACCACAACGCTCGCTGTGCATGATGTGAAGAGGTCTAGCTTTATTAAACTGTTCAGCGAGTCCCTCTTTCTCTTTTTCTACACCAAGCGTTCTTTGCCATGAAGTAAAAAAATACAAAGACAAAGCAAAGAGCTGACAAGGTGACTGCTTTTGCAGGAAGTAGGTCAGTGTTCATTGTTATGAAACAGAGCACCCTTATGACCGGCACAGCGAGACTGCTGCTGTTTTGTTTAATGCTTAAAAGAAAAACACCAATTAATGATGACAAGTACTTTAGCTGGTGGATATTTCATTGGTCTAGATAATGAAGTGCCTGACCTGCTTCTCCTCTCTTAGAAGTTAGAGAAGTTTGTTTCCAAACTTAATTTCTGTTTTTTGCCACCTACATGTGACTGTGTTATTGAAGTAACCCTTGTCTATGTGGTCAGTGAGTGAGTTTACATGTACAACAAATGCTGATAAATATCGAAAAACCTGCTCATTAACAAAACCTGACAAACAGAGTTTACGTTCGATGTTGAATGCTTTGAATAATTCTCTGGTTTTGACATCAAAACATGAACATACAGTATTGGCGTTTCTTTGATAAAAGAATAAAATATCTTATATGTTATGTAAGATGGTGCATGTAAACAATGCTTGAAGTGATTATCTGGAAACAGACAGGTAATAAGGAAGGTAATGAGAAAAAGGTCTGGGGTTAAGTAAGGACAGATGTAACTATCTATAGATGTTCGCATTTCTAATCCATTATATGTACAATTGCAGTCTAACTATAGAGTAGACTTAAAATGAATTGAGATCAAATGGCAATTTTTCTAGCTTTAGGTTTGATGTGGATTTTTTTTTCGAGACAAACAAGCACAAATCATTAGATATGCCTTTTCATCTTCAGATTTCATTAAAAAAAAAAAATATTGAGAGATACCTCTGTAAACGAATGGTTTTCTCAAAATACTGAAGTATTCCGAAGCCCTGTTTTGAATGTTTTATCAAATTGCCCTCCATTAATATGAATTGGGTCATTCCTGTTATGCAATGTCTTTTGAATATTGTAAAATGAATATATATACAGTATATATATATATATATATATATATATATATATATGTGTGTGTGTGTGTGTGTGTGTGTGTGTGTGTGTGTTTTGCAATTTAAGGACAATTTTATTTATTTTTTGGAGGGGGGTATATATATATATATATATAAATGAAGTAGTTACTTGGAATATTTGCATAATAGTTAATGCAAAACCTCAAGGGACATGACAAAAATAGCAACATCCACTCAAAACAAGTTTTATTTCATGTTAATTTAATTATGATGTAATGATGTGAGATTAATCTAGCACTTTTAATCTTTTAAATGAGTACATTTCATATATAAATAAACTGCACAGTAGGAATGACCCAATTACATTCATTCAGCAGAAACTGTAGTTTATGTAAATGCCAATGCAAGAGGCATAATACAGTACTTAATAATAACCAAGTTTCAAGGACAGACAGGAAGAATTTTCTATTTTACGATGCTACACCCTTATACAGAATTACTTATTGTTCCCTGATTATTTCTAAGGAAGTAATTGTAAATTTAAACGGTAGTGACCACTTACCGGTCATGTATGGAAATAAGCATACCGGTAATAATAATTCAACATGTTCAAGCCCAACTTGAAAACTAGGGGAGTGCAAAGTTTTGGCATTCGCTATATTATTTGGATTATGAATTTTTATTGCTGCTTACGTGCTGCAGCATCAGCTGAGATCTGCAGAAAGATACTGGCAGTGTTGAGAAAGAAGACTGACAGATGGATCAGGAATGCAAAAATAACAAACCATATAACTGCTCGAATGCACTGCGCCGGAGCTCTGTCACGTATCAATCTCAACAGAGCGCTAAAGAAGCAGTCTTTCTCCTGGCTCTATGCAGAGCAATGGCAGAAATAGAAAATGCAGCGATAGT